AGAGAGAGGGAGGGAGAGGTCTAGCGGTAAGATTGCTAGATCCTTGATTTTTATCTTTCTCTATGTAACCGAGTGAAATAGTCCATTGCGTGTTAGCTGTAGCACATTAGAGCATCTTGTTTGTAGCTTGTTCTTATGGCAGGATTCTCGACTGAGACATGGACACAGTGAATATGAAAACATTAAAGTTATGATTTCTTGTCTCATTTCATACTGTTATATTCTAATAAGTAAAGGTTTGGAGATTTGTTTTTGTTATTTAAATTTGTGCTCTCGGCATCTCTTCGGTAAATATGTCACCGGTTTCTATAAGGATTTGCCAGAATATTATTAGGTTATTGGGTGGAAGTCGTGCTTAGGAATATTTTCTCAATCTAAGATTTTGGGGATCCATTTTAGAATCATGTATTTTCAAAAAATTCTAAATTTTAAGTTTCTGAACACTTAAAATAGGTGCCTCCCCAAAGATTAGATGGTTTACATACCATTATAGGACATGATTTTGCAGGCATCTAGAATGTGTATGCTCTCTCTCTCTACAAAAAAAAAAAAAAAATCAAAATCAAAAGCATATACCTCTCTCACGTTTTGCTTCAAGTGCATACCTCAGTGAAATTTTGCATTGGGTATGCTACACTAGCGGGGCATCTACCGTTGTTTCCTATGTTAGGTGGTGGAGATTAACCTTGTCCAGGTAAATATCATCTTCTGCAGCCGGAAGGGACGGTTGATATCCCACCTGTGTACTGGCAAAAGTGCATTTGAGGCAGGTCAGGGACTAGACAGACTCTTTAAGTGTCAAAAGGGGTGCAGTCTTTGTTCTTTAACCAAAGTTTCTTAATGGGATAGGGAAATTATTTATAGGAAAAGTTTATATGGGGATTTTTCAAATGTGATTTCAGAATCCATCGTATTTAGGATTGGAAACACATGTTAGTCACTCTATATGCATTTGTGTTTTAGGTTCATGATTTTGTAGCTTAAAAAGTAGTGTAAATCTAATAAACAATAAATAACTAAATTGAATGGTGATGGACGGACTAAAAGCAAATTTTAGAATAGTTTATTTTTAATATGCAAAATCTTTTGTTTTTTTTTTTGATTCACATACTGGTTGAAGCTATGAATCTATGAAATTTAAGGTCCAAAATTAATATATGACATGGGTTTTTGATGGCGTTTAGACTGAAACGGGTGCGTCAACTGATGTACCAACAAATGAACTACCTTGTAGTAAATTGAAAAAGGGTGTGGTTTATATGAGACTGAGGACCTAAACAATCAAAGTGTGGCTTCATAAGATGCGTCTTTTGCTTAAACCAAGGTTTAAAAAATCACCGCCCTGATTCGGAATGCAATCTATATAGGGTATCGGCCGGATCCACTTAAAAAAGGGGACCCGGATGGATCTTAACGGAGAATCGTGGAGAATCGCTGGATGACATATGAATCTTTGAGTAGGTGAAAAAAAGTTGGCCGAGTCAGTCCGTTTTTTAAGCATGAACAATAGGGTTTCACATTATTCACTTGTTTGTTGAATTATTGAGCCCATTGCAGGCGTTTTCAGTGCCTTGTTGTCATCAATAAGTAGTTTTTGCATTATAACACCAGACTGAAATCACGAGATGCATTTTCCGGCTATGGGTTTTGAAAACCATTTCACGACAAAATTTTTTTCGTCTTTCCTTCAATTTCAGGTAAAATTTTTGCACCATTTTGAATGATGTCAGAGGGATTTTAAAGATAATGGTTCTTCAGATGATCGTGGTTATTATTTTTTGATTAAACGAGGTTTGTTGGTTGATTTTGCAAGAAATCATAATTGTTTCACAAAACCCTAATTTGATGTCGATTCAAATCTAATTGAGATGTATGTATTTTGATCCTGATTGTTTCAATTTGTATAGCCGGTAGTATCATGATTTATCATTTGGTTCTTTCTTTTTTATATAAAATGTTATGTGGTTTTAACTGAGATTTAGGGTCATCCGCCATTTTTTTTATTATTGTGGCCTCCATTTTGATCCATTTTCTAAACGTTTGAGGTATTTTGAAGCTACAGATTATGTTATCATGAAGTTAATTGTATGATTGAAATGATATCTAGGTTAATTTCGCAATATACATATTGATACATTTTAGGGCTTTTTGAGTAATTACTTCTAAATTAATTTGCTGATTACAATTGGGAATTTTGACAAATGTATGTTCTTGAGATACAATATGATAATACTTTCTTCTTCTTTTTTTTTCAAATTTCTTGTAATTATATTCAATTATATGTCATGAAGTTATGATTATCATGGGAAAAGAACTTATATTTTCAATTTTATTGTCGATATATTTAATACAATTGTATGTTCTTGATACATAAAATGTATGTATGTGCTTCATGCATAACTTATAATTAAATTATTTTGCTTAATAAAATTAAGGATTTTGACAAATATATGTTATTGTTTCTTTTAGTATAAGAATACATTTTTTTTTGATACTTTTATAATTATATTCAATTCTATATCATGAATTTATAATTATCATGAGAAAATAACTTGAATTTTTCAATTGTCATTAATTTTTTAATGCAATAAAATGTATGTTCTTGATACATAAATAAATTATTTTTGATGCATAAAACATATGTATGTTCTTGATATATAATTTATAATTAAGCTATTTTACTTAATTATATCAAAATATATGTCATGAATATGTAACTATCATGAGAAAAAAAAAACTTGTATTTTTCAATTTTAGCATTAATTTTTTAATGCAATAATAAAATGTACATCTAGACAGGAAAACATCTTAGTATTCACCTATTTTTTTAAAGTAATGAAAATGCATAATGCATCACTCCTAATTTCTTTTAGAATTTAAAAAGATACTATTTTTACAGTTTTATAATTATTTTTTGAAACATTTGTGACAAAACTTGTCGATTTGACCGATTTTACGACATGCCAATCCATCGATTTGACACAGGTATGGGTGAGGACGATCCGGGTCACCAATCCGGTTTTTTAAATCTTGGCTTAAACTATATGAAAATTTAGAAAAAAGTAGATCCAGCATGTGGCTTGTAAAGCCTTGTTTGGTAATTGAGAAAGCTATTCTTCTGAAGAATATCAAAGAAATTGGAAACTCGAGAAAAAGGTAGAAATGGAAAACTCGTGCTGGAAGCTAAAAAAAAAACCTTGTTTAGTAACTTAACTTGTCTGTAAAAGAAAAGCTTGGGATAGAGGTAGGGCAAAACGAGTTTACGAGTGGGGAGAGAGATTGCGTGGTTGGGAGAAAAAGGGGACGGGAAAGATTTCCCCCTTTTACCTGAGAAAGTAACCGAAATCGAGTAAAAGTGTGGAAGTGCGCATAAACATAGGGTTCCGTATTTCTAGGCTTTTCCGCTCTACTCGAGCTCACCAAAATGTGAAATTGTACTAATTCAAGGCCACCTTCTCCATTCATCCCCATAATCTATTTCATCACATGGTCTTGATGCTTGGGACCACACATTTAATGATTTTATATATATGGTAGTATACATTCTCAACGGTAGAAATTAAGGAATGAATGGCAGTTTTTGATGCCATGTGTATATAGATTTTAATTTTTCGCGGTGTATATAGATTTAATTTTTTTTTTTTTCTCACCGACTAGATCGTTTACAAAGGTCGAAGTACAATAAAACTCAATTGAAATAAATAAATAAATAAATAACCAAAAATGAGTCTCACTTGCTGCCATTAATTATAACTTTTTTTATTCAATGAATAAAACCCACACGAGGCTTTAAGGGAATAAGAAAGCATAAGAAATGAAATACTGCAAACCATAAAGCAAGATGCCGGAAGATTATCTCACTGGATAGTACACCCCACACCGGGTCACCCCCTCCTATAGTGCACTAGATCAATGGTCTATCTCGGATTTACCAAATTTAGGAAAGCTTTGGCTAAACCCCTTAACAAAATATGAGAGCATGGAACTATGGATCAAGCCTTCAATGCCTTAGAGCATATGAGTGGGGGCATGCACGTACTTTTGATCTCTTATGGGGGCTGCCCCCTATCTCTCGAGATCTTGGATGAGAGAGAGAGAAACCCTAGGGAGTGGTGGCATGCCACTCTAGATAAGAGAAAAAATAGAGATTTAATGTAGAGAATGAGAGGTAAAAGAGCCATTTTTTATAGACTTTTC